TTCGGGGAGGCAAAGCCGCAAAATGCAGTAAGAAACAAGGTAGATAGACACCCACGACACGGTGGTAGACACCAACGGGAAGGATTGATTGATGGATGGCAGACGGGAAGGGGTCAGTCATGCGAGGGATGGGGATGTGAGGCCGGGTACGGATGGAAAACGACACACACACATTCTTGCCGGTAATTATCGTACCTCTTTTTTTTTCTGGCTTGCTTGCTTTGGAAGGGGACGCCAAGGTGCTCAACTCTGTATAGCTTGGTGACGGTGTGAATAGAGTGCGAGGTAAAGTAGAGACAAGCAATGAAGGCGGGAAAGGAGGGAGGCGAAAGGACGGGAGAATGAGATGGGAAAGATCAGAATAGGCAGACAAGGGGGGGAGGGGCAATGATAGTTTGGCCCTGCTATTGGATCCAACCCAGAGACGAGAGACGAGACTTTGCGCCGAACTTACCAAATCTTGTACTCCTGTCTTGCGAGGAATCGACAGTCGAATGTGTCTGTGTGCGAGTGGACTACAAATCCCCGGTTGCTTGCTGCCTTGCTGTTTCTTGCCTCTCGTTGCCTCCTCTATTCTCTTCTTCCTCTATCCGTTAATGAGTAGGTTGGTACTCGTTCGCGGTTGGCCTGGTTTTGTTGGCTGCCTGCTTCTCTGCTCCTCTCCACCGAGGTACAAATATTGAAAGTTTGGACAGGTGATGACGACAGGTCACAGAGCAGAGTACCAAAGGGGGCAATGCGTTCTTTTTGGGATTGTGCGTATGTGGGCGAGCGAAGAGCGTTCGTCTCCAAATGATGTGATGTGCGGCTTGACAAAAAAGCTAAATGTTCGTTTGCAGACGTCTTGAATGGACGGTTTATGCGTGCGTTCAGAGGGCTGAGGTACCGGGGCACCTTGGCGGGAGAGAATAACAGGTACCCTGACACGACCTGACGGTTGACAAAGTACGGGCTGAACTAGGCGCGCGGAGAGAAGTATCGACGGTGGAGGCAAACAGGACTTGACGTCCAATCAACCTATGGATTTGCGGAGACGGTGGTCCGGTACGATGAATGACAGAGTGAGTGAGTGACTGATTGATTGCCCTGGGTACGGAGTACAGCTACGGGCTCTCAGAGGAGCGGTTGAGCGCAAGGTGTCGAGAGAAAACGGGCCAACAGGTACCAAGTGCGTGGCGGGAAGCAATGTACAAAGTCCCCGGGGTTCGAAACGTCGATACAAGTCGGGACGAATGGTGTATGCAGTATGTCGCGTGTGTGCTTCTTGTTCTTGTCCTTGTCGCTCCTAGCTTCTATCCGTAGGTGCCTCGGTTGGTGTGTGCGTTGCTCGTGTGTGCGTGTCTGTAGTGTGCGAGTGTGTGTAATTACTAGAGAGTCGACGCTGCGTGCCCCGAGAGATATGCTCTTGGGGCTCAACTCTGCCAGAGCAAAGTCGGACTATAGGCAGAAGATGGCGGACGTTGAAGAAAAGACGGAAGATGTAAAAACAGGTAGACGATGCGGATTGGAAAGAAGAGGCACGGTGGTTCCCAAGATGATCAAATAAAGTCAGAGAAAATGGTGGATGGGTGCGGCAAGCCTCTGGAGCCCTTCTCTTTGGATCCTTGGGACTGGAATGGCGGTTTGCGATTGGTCTCCGACGGCTGGCCACAGGCACGACAGGGAGAGTCGTTGATGTTGCAATGGCACCAAACTCAAGGTGAGGTACTTGACGTTACCTCTGGCTTGGCCAAGGTAGGGCAAGCCGTAAAGCAGACAAGCACAAAGTGACCGTCTTTGAATGGTCAAAAGTTCTCCCAGACTGCGTGTACCGAGAACCGAGTGGATCGTGGATGCGGTTGTGCTGCTTCTGTCGATACAGGTGCTGCTGCACTTTGGGATAAACAACCTGCGGAAATAAACAGCAGGCCGACTGCCTGAATCACGGCGATGAGAAAGAGAGAGAGGGTCTGTCCGGGCTGAGACCGTTTTGTTTGTACAATTCATTCGATGGCGGAATCCGTACGTAGATGCTGGTCACTAGAGTACTTGGAAACATGTATCCGATGCCGCCGTGGTTTGCCCACGCTTATCTGGTCCGGAAGTCCTCAAGCAACCTAGTTGAAGGCGCCGAGTGTGCAATTTGGCTTGTCGATGCGAGAATGCAGATGCAGCGCGTTGAGCCGGGGGTGTGGCCCACTGCGGAGTAGGCGAGAGAGCGAGAGAGATTGACTGACTGACGGGACCAAGGCGGGAGACACTGGCTCGATTAACCCGTAGCTGTATCCGTAGCGTGTCCGTACATATGAGCAGAGCTAGGAAGAGCTGCAGGTCATTCAAGACACGAAGCGGAGCAAGTACGGAGACTCTTTTCGCTGGCTTCATACGAACATTCGTAGATTATGCTGAACGTCGTGGAGAGGTAAGGTACTTCGTACCCTTGAGTCGCCGGTGATCGGCGAGATCTCAGTTCTAATCTACCTTCGACTGATGGATCCTGCCCCAAGATCAGACAAGACAGGCTGGCGGCAAGCTTCTTCGTCCTTCGAGGTGAGGACGCCGTACCGTTGGCCGTCCGAGAGCTGGGTCCAGAGTCTTGAGTCTCGACCTCTGCAGGAATCTGGGCTGAACAACAGGCGGCGAGTCCAATCGAGGGAGACACACACGGACGGGGATACGCTAGGACGAGACGAGTCAAGAACAAGAAAAAGACCCCCGTCTGCCAGGGGAGGAGAAGGGGTTCTGCCGTCCTTTTTAGCGTCTGACGGGTTTTTGTTTGTTCGGGGGCACTCGTGGGCGGTGGATTGATGAGGCACGGCTCCCACGAAAGAATGAGATGCAACTGGGATTCGATGCTGACCACGCTGGGCAGGCTGGTTCGGAGAGTGGGTTATCTTGCGTGGCAGACAGATCTCTTTCCAGTGGAGGTATCAGCAGATGGCTCGCTTCTAGGCCACGCAAAAGATCGCTCTGCTCTGGTCAAAACTTCTCCACCACCTCCGCTGCACCGACGAGCTGTATCCGTAGCTGGAGCTGGCTGGTCTAATGTTGATGGGGGTCCGGGACGGATGGCGCGATGATCAATGCAGGCGAGATAATACGGACAAGGGGGCAGCTGCTGTTGAGAGACAACACTGCGCGTGTGATTGATTGCTTACAGCCCGTGGTTTGCGTAGTATCGTCTCTAGGGTGTAATACGCTGGTGATGTGATCAATAGGCCGCCCAGGCAGCACGAACCCGACAATGTCGCTTTACTCGTCTCTCCACTATTGTCGTCGTGCAGAGTACTCCGTACGCGGCAGTGAAGGAGACATCTCAATTTCTCAACAGGACGGCAACGGCACTGAGCAGCAGCACCACTTGTGGAGGACCGAATCCAGGGTCAAGGTATTCGTCCGGCGTAGCGAGGAGAACAAGCCTGGACCAGGGGTTGGGAAAGGGGACCACAAGTCTGCAGCAGCCGGGTGGGCCGCCGTGTAAGAGAAGACTGCTTGATGACGAACGGCCAGCCGTGGCTTGAATGTTTTGTTTTCTCGTCTCGTGAGGAGTAAAAAGCAAACTTGTTATTGCCTGCCTCAACGGTGGCTGAACAGGCCAATGATGATGGAATTAGGAATGGCAACCCAGGCGAACCGTGGCTTGAAGATTGACAGGTCGCCTCTACACTGCCACAACCCCGGATTTTCCCTGGTCGAGCGTCCAATGCCGTCTCGCTATCACTGCGCCGTCTCGCGTTTGATTTCTTGTCCAAAGTGTCCAGACTGGACTTCAGGGGGGCGTGGGCGATTTAGGATCAGGGGGCGGCGATATGTGCCGGAAATGTACCTGCGACTATGTTCCGGCCGAGTTCCGTGTATGATCTTCAGGGATTCTGGGGCAGAAACGACAGCCAAGTCTCTGAGATTCGAGGAAGCGAAACGGGCCACAGCAAGATTGAACACACACAAAAAAAAACGGCGCTTCGTTTCTTCAACGTGTGTTTCTTCGTTGTCTGACCGTTGAGAAGCGTTGAAGAGTGTAGGATGATCGACAAGGAGTAGAGAGGAAAGGAAAGGAAAGGAAAGGAAAGGAAAGGAAAGAGAGAAGGAGGCTCTTGTGCGATGTTACTTGCAGCCCGTCCTGTGTCACCTCGTTAAGTAAATCGGAAGGCACATTTTGTTCAAGGTAGGAAAGGCAGCATTCGCCTTCCAAGTTGGGCTACTGAATTCTGCAACAAGGCAGGCAGACCATCTTCCCATGCCTTCTTTCCTTCCTTCCTTTTGCCTTGACGTCTCACCTTACTCGTACAGTCCGAAACTTCGATTGAGAATCTGAGGAAGGAACATCGTTGCCATGTACCTCGTTTGAGCAGACTTTGCAGGTATCAAAGGCTTCCTCATCTCTATGTCTTTTATTCAACAAAAACGCGCTGATTGGCAGGCATAGGGGCATCAACAATAAGTGCAAGCTGAGGAACCGTGGCTCGTGTTTTCAATACATGATGAATCCACCAGAGCGGTGCCGTTGGTCCCGCAAGTCGTCGCTAAACATTCAACGTCTTTAATCAGAGGCAAGAAACAAAACATTCTTGTACTTGTTTGCCAAGCGTGAGTCTTGTTTTTGTTACTCTAAAGAAGTCAAGCAAGGGGCGGTCGGTGTATCATGTACTACCGTGTGGCGATGATGCGGAAAATAGAGAATAAGAAAAGAGAAAAAAGAGCCGCCAGTCTATGGGAATATCATGGACATGTTTCGTTCCTCCGTGGACCTGTTGGCTCCTGGAACGCAATTCTTATGAACAGGCATACCGGAATGCTGTAATGTTGCTGGTGGGCGCGCTGGCACGTCCTTGTTGCGCCATCCCTCGGCTGAACAAATGAGCCCGTCAACGTTTCTGCTTGGTACGAGCCGGGGCCGGCCATCTGGCCCATCTCGTCCCTGAGCTTCTCCGTCCGTCCCAACACGCCCTGTCAAACCTGCATCGGTCCCATCAGCATGGCAACCAAGAGTGTCCGTAAAAGGCACTTCACTTCTAGGCGTCATGTATTGCCATCCGAGTTCACGGGCTGGGCTGGCTGGCTGGCAAGGGCTTGTTCTAGACACCCGCGCGCGCCAAGTTGCTCCCGCTCGCCCTTCGCTTGTTTGTGTTCATCTCCAACGAGCAAATTCTCACGCAGCGTTACACTGCACTTGGAGCGCAAGCCCCTTGAAGATGTATGTCGATGACAGCGCCCGGCTCCGAGCAGAAAGCCATGGTCTTGGTTGTGGATTAGCCCTCGTGGTAAGAATTAGACGTGTTTTGTACGGAGCAGCGCCTCTTCACCCAGTGTCGTGGCCGCCGACCGCTCGTCCTTTTTTACCAAAGGTTAATATTGAGCAAGGTGCTTTCTGGCTTGCTGAGCGTTACTCTGCGACATCCCACGGGTGCAACGCTGGTACTCAGAACGTGCACTGCTGTGTCATACCGCTCCGCCTCTGCGAGCAATCTATGCAGAATTGCTATGTGTATGGAGTCAAATGGCCTACCCCCTTCTGTTCGAGCCGAGGGGGTTTCATGAAACTCCAAAGGGACTGGGACTTTCTCCCCCTTCCCGAGGAAATACCCCAAAAGACCGCCCGAAGTTTGAGTGTGTCAACCCCGGATTGGTCTTGGTCCACTCTGGCGGGGTTGTCGTTGTTTCAGTGTTTCAACTCTACCAACTTGAAAGGGCCAGTCACGACTGCTATTCATTCCAGGCGGCCTGGTCCGTCCACGTTCCTCCTTAACAGGCCTGGGTAGGGTCTCATTGGACGATGGTACGCCAGAGAGTAGGTCACGGCAGGGATCGACATTCCTCAATATCGCCTGTCCAGTATTTGGAACTTGCGCTGCGAGCTATCGCATCCCAACATCAAAGTCTGGCGGCTTGGTGACCATAGCATTGCATGAAGGCGCAAATCGATTGAGGCTCATTGCTCCAGTAGGTCGGAACGAGTGGCTGGACAAGGCCGGATGGGAGTTCGTGCGGTCACACTCTCACTACTCCGTACTCATGAACTCTCTCGTTTTGCTGACGAAATAGCATGCTGTACGACTCGTGTTGGCCGGCTTGCATGTTTCCTTCTGCTCAAGTAGCAGCCACTCGCCAAGCTGCATCTCGGTACCCTACGGACGAAGTGGTCCATGTGATCTTCACGGGGTTCCGGCGCCACAAGACATCCTATAAAAACAAAATTATGCCTGAAGAGCATACGAAAAAGCAAGTCCGAGAATCAAGCATCATCCGCTTTCGATAAACCGAACTTCTATCGTGAAGCGACAAAGCCTACTGGACGTTCGTCTGCGAGTTGGCAGACCTTATTGGGCAACAAGGGGCGTCGTTGCCTGCCAATTGCATTGGTCTGGTTCGGCCTCCGCCAGCAAGTGAGTAACCCCGAGTCGTTCTGTCCTGAGAAGAGATGCCAGCCTCTGGATCCGGTGCACGATTCTGACACCACTCGTTACCATTGAGAACTTGCTTATGGACAGTCTGAAGCTCTGCGGACACGATCAACTGTATGTCGGGATGACTTGGAGTACAGCTATTGGCTAGAAGTATATTGCTTGGCCAGCCCAGTCGCTGACCGCCTCACAGTTGCTTCTTCGCAAGGAGGGCTAAAGAAACTTGCTCCTCAATGAAGGCCTCTGCCGGCAACCTTTTGCTGAGACATTTCGGGCAAGGTTGTCCGATCGTGCAGTCACTCGCCGCTGTGTAATATCGATGTGGCCGACAGAGAGTCGTACGTGGGCAGGCAGGGTAGGTATGTCCAAGGACTGCGAGGGATCGATATCTTTCCAGACCCTTACTTGATGCTGTGGCACTTGTAATGCCGAAAAGTGCCACACCGCCTCCTGCTATGATTAGTCTGGTGCACAAGACGGTCATCGCCTCTGGAACTCGGTGGTGATCGCGCGGGGCTCTCGCAGCATGGCGACGGTTAGCTGCATTCGTACAAGGCCAAGCAAGAGTCGGAACTTTGTCGCTGACTTGCCAATGTGTGTTTCGTCGATCCTGTTAAGACTTGGTTCAAGACATGTTCTTTCGCCACTGGGCATCCTCAAATCGAGGTCTTGTGTGTCGTGATTACTGTACTGCAGATGCCTGCCAACTGAATCTTTGCCTAGCACTGGCGCCCAATCCTCAGACACCTGCTGTGCTTCACAACTTTCCTGGAAAACCGCGGCCGGGAAGTTCACGAGGTTGAGGTCGACACTGCTAGCCAAGCAGGGATGCGCGGGTTGTCTTTGGTACTTGGACAGGCTCTGGTCCGCTTCACCGCCCATCAGACTGCTTCGGTGCTGTTGCATACATGGTTTCCGTAGACTAACGCAGAACAGATGAGCGATGCATGTCCCGAATCGTCCTTTTGCGCAAGATAATCGCCTGCCAGACTGCTTTGGTATCGTTGCATGTATCGTGTTCGCAGGCAAGATGTGGCCGTGACCGCCACCTCAGCGCAAGAGCATCACGGGCGAACTGCCTCATGCGTTGTCATCCGTACTGGGCGAGTATTAGCAAGCTTCATTATCATGGAGACCCAAGATGTCGTCAGGCGCTGTCACCTGCAAGAACTCTTCATCATGCTCACCAAGAGGCTTAGCAAACGCCAGGTTGGGAACTGCCCATGGGCTTACCTCCAGTCAAGCTGCGGTTGAGGTCAAAAGTAGTCCAAATTCTCCGCTAAGAGGCCACAATGAAATTCTTGTACGTGTCAAAAACGAGCAGACCTTATTCAGGAACATGGGCAATGAGATGTGCCTCTGGACGGTGCAGCCTGATTGCGTTTGGTATTTAGGTCAAAGACCTTCTCGGCAGCGATGGCCACTCAGGGGAACCGCCACATGTCGAATATCCCACTTGGGCGACTTGTCAAGATAACATCAAACCGGATGATGATGGTTGCGGAAGTGACCCAGTGAGGAGAGTCGTTATTTGTCTCTCTGTGGCGCCGTGGTGAATCGGAGCGGACGGACGCCACAAAGGAGCGCCACATGTGGCTCGGACCATATGCTCGGTATGTTCGGTGTCGAGTTGTCAGTAGTAGTATTGCATTAAACCCGGAGGGGCAGGGGCTGTGGGATAAGAGGTGGTCGCTGCATTGAACAATGCAACGGTGCTTCACAACAAACGAGATGAACAACTCTCGTTTGTCTCCAAGGGGCAACAGCAATTCCCGGAAATCTCGTAGACGGTCCCGAAAGGGATGATCTGCGACAACAGGAGCCGGCAGGCGGAGTCGGACGAAAAGGCTATGCTAAGATCGCTACGGGCCGGGCAGGATTTTGCATTTTGAATTCTGGGTTGTGTACGAGGCTCGCAGGCGGCAGCACCGTGGTAGGCGTGGAAGACTGGAAGAGTCCATTCACGAGCTCGTAATCTCGTGTGTAGGGCAACGGGGCCATCGTGGGCCACGAGGCTCTCGCTTTGCCAGAGATGACGGTGCGGGTCGAGAGCCCCACTGGCATGGAGTGACCAGGTGGCTGCTGGAGTTCCGACGCTATTTCTGGCATCGGGACGTTGCCGCCGCCAAAAAGGTGGGAGAGGGCGGAATGAGTTAATGAAGTCTTTCTAGAATTGGGCGAGAGTCAGCAAGCAGCAAACCTGATTTGACATGTTGAATGATTGCATTCGTGGGGCCCCGGGAGAGGCCAAGACCGGATTGGGACGGACAACTTTGTCAGTCGAGGATGGTACGGATACCCGGAGACATTTAGACTGGGCAGAAGAGGGATCAAGCTGGCAGCTTTTTCGCTCGGTAGACTTGTGATGAGGGAGAAAAATACTGGTAGGCGCCGGTGTGTTATAGCTCCGTGTGATATCGAGATGAGGGCGGCAGAGGAGGAAGCGGACTGGACGGAAGGGCAGAAAAGGAAAAAGAGATTTGAGAAGCAATAGTTTGGTCGGGCGAATCCGAGAGCATTCAGAGTTCATGTTCTCGACGGGCGTTGCATTGTTATTCTCCAAGTCGTTATGATTTGTTTGTGTTGCGGCTTGCGGCTTGCCTCGAAGAGTGGAAGGCCGGGTATTGCTGACGAAGGACGCACCTTCCTTCTCGAAATGGATGTCACCACGACGCTAACCGCGTGTTCTATCCAATGGACCCACTTGCACAAGGCCGCAGTGGGTGCTGATTTGCGAGTCCAGATTGCACAGAAAAAGGGGAGTCCCAGCTTGTCGTCACAGCCGCCCAGGTTCGGAGGAGGAAGGCAAGAGCCAGGGGGGATTATCTGGCAGAATTCAGGAACTGGAGCAAGAGCAGAGCAAGAACAACTCGCTCGTTCCTGGCTGCACACGAGCTCACGGACCACGAGCCCCTGCAGGGGGTCGATGAGCTTAGTTGGGAAACGACCAACGGCCGCCCAATTATCGACGCCGTTTCAAGGCGGCTCCCGGTACCGCCCCGTTTATCCCAGGCGCGCAACGGCCTCATTGGCCAATGGCGGAAATTGCAACAGACCGTTGACGAATCGTGCGTGCCTGTCAGATGGGCTCAATCTTGGGGCGTTGCTTCCCATGTTCCCAAATCAGTCAAGTTGCTCCATGGGCAGTGCTTGCCAGAATGGAGAATTGGCCCGGTCCAGATCCACTACGGAGTGCGCCAATGGAACTATGGATTCCATGGAAGGGAAGGTGGGAGGACCGTTTGCTGTCGTCCGATGCTGCCATCTTCTCCTCTTTTCCACTCCCGTCCTGGCTGGTCCTGCTTAGTTTTTTCTCGCTTCTTTTCCAAGGCGGTAAGCAGCTTTCTCCTGAGTTTTTAGCCTCTCTGTTCGTGCCTCAGATGTTATGTATTTACCTTATCATACGCAGTACGTATAGGACGGATAACAAGTACCTATGTACTGCCTGGCTGGAGCTTCTCTCAACCCGGTCTGGCTCGGTGATGATCCCTGCCGCCTTGCCAATAGGCTGGGGCTCTAGGAAAGGATTCAATCTGTGATCACGAACCGCCCCATGCCATGATGAATGATGCCGCCCTTTTCTGTGCGCTTATGCTGTGCCTCTGCTGCATAGATCCTTGGATGCCTGGCCAGGAACGGCATGGCTCCATCGCGTCTTCCTCCCAGGCGTCCAATGCCGCCCACACTGGCACACACGCTGGGCAGTAGCCACTTACCCGCTGCCCAGTCCTAATGCAAGCCTGCGCACCAATTGTCCACACACCAACGCAGGTACCAGGCACACACACACACACACCACACCGCAGACCTCCTCTTCCCGTCTGCTCCTCACCCTCGGCGCTACCCCTGTCTCTCCATTTTCCAACCAGGACATATCCTTCCTCGTTCCCTTCCATCTCGACTTCTTCTCCTCCTCCCTTCCCTCCCCTTCTTCTTCAACAACTTTGTTCAAATCGTCGTTGTCCTTGCTGTACGTTGCAGGACCGTTTGTTGTCACTCGCTCTCTATTAGCACCCTCCTTCCAGTCACTCTCTAATACTATCCCCCCCTTGGAAATTCCGCTTGCATTCACTAAGCAGTTTTCCGTCCTATCGTTAATAACCAACCTGCTCACTACGTACCATCACAACTACACCGAAAAAAACACCCAACCCTCAAATCCAAAAATATCCACGACACACCGAGAGACAAGTGCATTTTTTAACGACTTTCGCGACGGCCTGCCACAGAGAGAAGACTTAATCCCTTACGTACGTGCCACTTCTATTTTTTTTTTTTGGGAGGCGAGGCAAATCCGCCCTTCTGGACTGGACATTCGAGGACTATTGTGTGTGTTGGCCGGTGAGAAAAGGGAGATC